TATACAGCTGTGGATATACGCGCTACAGCAGCGCTCTAGCCGCGCTGAGATTTCTTTGGGAACTTTTCAAAATACTATAACAGCCATTGAACCGATCTTTTGGCCTCTGTCGATTTTTCACCTACGTGTAGCCAGGACCAAAAGGACCTAAGTAGCATAGACCAAAAAAGTGGCGTCCGGTATGCGCCAAAAGCGGGTGGACGCCAGATTAAATGCACTTTTGCCTTCATGGGACGTCCAATCGATTGCGGGATGTAAATATATCTTCCCATTCATAATTGCACCGAACATCCGTTACAATTTATCAACATGTTATTGATTGCTTGCCAGATGCAGTGTCACGGAAGTCATCATACTTATGTAGAAGAGGAGACACATCCATCGTAAAGTATTGATTCACGAAACTGATCTCAATACTTATAAAACACCGCCAAATGCAAGTTTGACTCTCTCACGAAGGGCTCAGCATGATAAAAATATCAAAATTTAGGGAGGTTTTTAATATATTTTTTATTCATATATCGATAGCAAAAAACAACCATCAATGAAAACATCGGATCACGATCTAGTGACAGACTATCACGATTCGTCAGATACGGCCTAGTGACAGACGGACCGACACCAATTACTGATATTCTGCATGACTCTTACTAAAAATACATAATAAATAAAATACGTGATGTAAAAACAATAATGAACTAAAATATTACAAATCAGATACTCACAAAAAGAACCAACATCACAGATGCAAGGCACAGGCCTGCAAATAATGTAATAGGTACAAAGCATTCTAATTTCGTATCGTTTCAAGAATTGTGTTAGTGTACGACATTCGTTCTAATTAACGAATTTACAATGATAACATGTCATATAAATAATGGCACAATTATATGTAGTAAAGCAGAAAGTATAAAGCAGAAACACGGGGGCGGGAGCCGCGGCCCGGCCTCGGCCATTTTATTCGCAACCACTGAAATAATAATGCATTCGTGTGAAGCAGTTTATGGCGATAGAAAAAGAATATCCTTGACGTTGGCCAGGAATGCGATCCGAGCTGCGTCCAATCTCGTGTTGCGTTTTATGATGCAATAGAAAATTCCAGAAACTTGAAAGTTTACCCGTTCGTACATATGTTCAATCACATTAGGTATTAACACATTCCAAAATAACGGGGCCGGATTACGTTTACGAAAACTTGCGAACTTTCAATAACATATTAATGTTTGTTCGAAATAGAACGGTTTAATATAAATTAATAGGTTGAATTACAACCACTGATGACGACGCATCGTACATAAATCAACTGGAAATAATATTAGTACGGTATGGATTTCTGCAGTATTAGAATTGGCTCTTAACATGATGCTATTCAATGGAAAAACGGAATAAACTAAGATTACTTATCCATTAATGAAGACATCGGTTTTACGATCCAGGTTTAATTGTGATGTTTATTAGGATACATCTGAATTATAAGTCGTAATTGGTGAAATGTGGAGGAGGCAAAAGGCCACATTCCAGAGCTGAACATTTACGGGCTATAAAAGCTTTATCGTAAATAAAGTTTAGACTTCCCACCATCCAACGAATCAGCTAACATATCCATTTCTAACACAAATCCAAATAAAAATGGAATATCAGATTTCAATTTTGCTGATATCACTGAAAAAAGAAACGTTATTTTTCAATGTAATACAGTCAAGCTGAAAATAGATACATCGAACCATATAAATAATGGATACAGAGCGTAATGATGATGCAATATTTTGTAACAGTTTTGTTCGAACATCTCGGCTGACTTCAAGTTTGACTGTTCAAGAAAACATGATTACTGATAATGTCGTGCAAACAATAGTTTGGAGTTAGTGGTAACTTGATTGGTCGATTAACAACAGACGGCTGTTTCCTGCAACTTGAGCTTTTCACCCTATATTAAAATCCCAGCACATTGGAAAATTGCCCGTTTCGTTGGCATTCGTTCAAACTATTTTGCGTTCTGCGATGAGACGTTCCTCTAAAATTATTTTAATGTTTGTCACGACTGCTTCTTCGTGGTGAACTAAAGGCGTATCCATTGACTCGATCTTGATTATAAGAAAAACAACATCACTCAAACACTACGCAATGGATGTGGTTCTTTACATTTTGTTGTAATGAATGATTTCAGAATTTGTATGAAACTGATGCGAAGTGTCCAATTTGTCAGGACTGCTTGAAACATGCGACATATCGACGAATAAAAGTGACAGTTGCTTATTGTATTGTTTTGAGTTCATCTACAATGGAATAATTGTTTCACAGGTTTCAATGAAACACCGACAACAAATCACTACGAATACTAATAAATAAGAAATTACTGTTTGGGAACTTGGTGATACGTTTGGTGACAACCGAATGGAATATAATTGACCTATCTTGGTTCAGGTCATAGATATATACTCCAGAACAGATCACGTTTGTAGTATTTATATTTGATTTAACTTAATTTTAGTTACAAATCTTGTTTTCAGAATGCTAAAAGCTCCTCCTAACCCCTGGAGGGAAGCGAATGGTTTGTTAGACATATACAGAAATTAACCTCAGAGTCCCATGACATGCAAATACCGTAGTATTAGCTATAAACTGAATTTTCTGCAGATATACGCGATACTTTAATTATCGACTGCCTCGTTGGGCGACTGCCGGGCAAGGGGTCTCGGGTTCGATTCCCGGGACGGGCAAAGTATTACTCGGTTTTTAAAAAAAAATCTCAGTAGTAGCACGAAGTTTAAAAATGTGCCCGGTATATGGCAATAGGCTCACCCCCTATTACATGGGTCTCATAACATAAATAGTGAAAAGTGGGTGTGACTTCTGTGTGCACCTCTACCCCTTCGGGGATATAAAGGCGTGATGTTATGTTACTTTAATTATGTTTTAAAAAATCGTATTTGTGTGACAAAGTCATACAAATACGATTTTTTAATACGAAAATATTATACACACTTTTGAGTTAAGATCGATTTTTGACATTTATTTGTATATAATTTCTGTCGTTATGGCGACCCTGTGATTTTATTTTTGTTTATTTATTCATTTAAATCAGGTTACACCCAATGCGATAATGTTGTCACTTAATACAAAAACTTATAATTAATATTGTTATATGTTAATTGCACGTATCCATAAACTACATATGTACAACTAACAACATCATTCGTTACCTTTATGAACTCCGCCAATGAGCAACAGAAAATTATATATTTATTATTTAGGAAAAAACGTTGCCCCACACTAGGATTTTCTTCTGTGTCGTGGGTAGATTTACAAACATACAACGTGACACTCAGACCCGGGACAACAATCTGTGGATAACACAAAGAGTTTTTCCGTGTGGGAATCGAACCTGCTACACGTTACCTAGCAACCAGTTGCCCAACCATCGCACCAACCGTACAGTAACATTGGTTATTAATTTTAGCTGTAAC